ATAATGGACTAAACCTCAGAGCTGTAAGCCAGCCCCAATGAAATGCTTTTCTTTGAAAGAGTAGCTGTGGTCAGGATGTCTCTTCACAGCTGTAAAAGCCCCATGACAAAGGGGAACTGTGCACTGTGTTGAAATCTACCCTGGTACACACGTTCTTAAAGGAATACATCCCTACTGTTACTGGTTCCACATACAATCCAGAAGAAAACAATTAAAATATCATGTGCATGCAGCCAAGCCTACCAACCTGAGTCTGATCCCCAGAACACACGAGATAAGAAAACTGAGCTCTACATATTTTCCTCTGACCTCCACATGTGATCGGTAACATTAACATGCCATCTCCACCCCAAAACCAGACATGCACAATAATAAATAAATAAGTAACTATATATATATAGAATATATAGAGAATGATATATATATATATATATATATATATATATATGGCTAGAGAGAGACAGATTAGCTGTTCAAGGTGCATGCTGTTCCTACAGAGGACCTGAGTTCAGTTCCCAGCACCAACCAATGGCAGATAACTCCAACACTGGGGCGGGGGAGGAGGCTGATGCTACTAGCTCCCTGGATCACATCCATTCATATGCACATATCCACACACATACACATACAAAATTAAAAATAAAACAAATCTAAAAAAAGACACAGTGGAATTGCACATGGCCACTGGCTTCCAGAGTGGCTGGCACAGGGAGGGAGGGAGGGAGAAGGCACAAAGGGGAGGAAAGACGTGAACAGATGATGGTGTGGACAGAGGAGAGGAGAGTGGACAGTGTGGACAGAGGAGAGGAGAGTGGACGGTGTGGACAGAGGAGAGTGGACGGTGTGGACAGAGGAGAATGGACGGTGTGGACAGAGGAGAGGAGAGTGGACGGTGTGGACAGAGGAGAGGAGAGTGGACGGTGTGGACAGAGGAGAATGGACGGTGTGGACAGAGGAGAGGAGAATGGACGGTGTGGACAGAGGAGAGGAGAGTGGACGGTGTGGACAGAGGAGAGGAGAGTGGACGGTGTGGACAGAGGAGAGGAGAGTGGACGGTGTGGACAGAGGAGAATGGACGGTGTGGACAGAGGAGAGGAGAGTGGACGGTGTGGACAGAGGAGAGGAGAGTGGACGGTGTGGACAGAGGAGAGGAGAGTGGACGGTGTGGACAGAGGAGAGGAGAGTGGACGGTGTGGACAGAGGAGAGGAGAGTGGACGGTGTGGACAGAGGAGAGGAGAGTGGACGGTGTGGACAGAGGAGAATGGATGGTGTGGACAGAGGAGAGTGGACGGTGTGGACAGAGGAGAGTGGACGGTGTGGACAGAGGAGAGTGGACGGTGTGGACAGAGGAGAGTGGACAATGTGGACAGAGGAGAGGAGAGTGGACGGTGTGGACAGAGGAGAGGAGAGTGGACGGTGTGGACAGAGGAGAGTGGACGGTGTGGACAGAGGAGAGGAGAGTGGACGGTGTGGACAGAGGAGAGTGGACGGTGTGGACAGAGGAGAGGAGAACGGACGATGTGGACAGAGGAGAGGAGAGTGGACGGTGTGGACAGAGGAGAGGAGAGTGGACGGTGTGGACAGAGGAGAGGAGAATGGACAGTATGGAGAGAGGAGAGTGGACGGTGTGGACAGAGGAGAGTGGACGGTGTGGACAGAGGAGAGGAGAGTGGACGGTGTGGACAGAGGAGAGGAGAGTGAACGGTGTGGACAGAGGAGAGTGGACGGTGTGGACAGAGGAGAGGAGAACGGACGATGTGGACAGAGGAGAGGAGAGTGGACGGTGTGGACAGAGGAGAGGAGAGTGGACGGTGTGGACAGAGGAGAGGAGAGTGGACGGTGTGGACAGAGGAGAGGAGAGTGGACGGTGTGGACAGAGGAGAGTGGACGGTGTGGACAGAGGAGAGGAGAATGGGCGGTGTGGACAGTGTGGGACAGAGAAGCTTTCGGGAGGAAAAAACAGAAGGAAGTTTCTTCCCACTAAATGTCAAGAATTGCTTCTCTCTGGCCACATAAGCCTGCTAACTTCCTCCCAGCTCCTAGGGACCAGGGCAGACACAGGGGAGATATCACCCAAGGTCTGGAGGGAAGCACCCAACAGAATAAATGTGGCTGGAAAGGAAAGGCAGAGTGTGTGCTTGATGGAGATATAGGAGCAGGGAACTGTGGGCATCTATGAAATGCTACCCAGGCAGGACCCTAAGTGCTTCTGAGCAGAGAGGCAGAGTTAAAGATGGGCTGAAGGGCTAGGAGTAAAGTGTTTGTCATGCAAGCGTGAGACCCTGAGTAGAAAAGGCCAGGGGTGATGGTGTGTACTTGAAATCTGGGTACAGGGGGTGGTGGAGACAGGCATATCCCTGAGGCTTCCAGGTCAGCTAGCCTGGCCTACATGGTGAGCCTCAGACCAGTAAAGGACTGTATTAAAGGTAAGGTGTGGCCACTGAGATGGCTCATCAGATAAGGGTGCTTTCCACCATGTCTGACCACGAGTTCCATTACCAGGATTCAGATGGTGAAAAGAGAAACTGACTTTCCCCAAATTGTCCATTGTCCTCTGGCCTCCACATATGCATCTCCTCCTCCTTCTCCTCCTCCTCCTCCACCACCACTGTCACCACCTCCTCCTCCTCCTCCACCACCACCACCATCACCACCTCCATCACCATCACCACCATCACCACCTCCACCACCACCTCCACCACCACCTCCATCACCATCACCTCCATCACCACCATCACCACCTCCATCACCATCACCTCCATCACCACCACCACCACCACCACCACCACCATCACCACCACCATCACCACCACCACCACCACCACCTCCATCACCACCACCACCACCACCTTCATCACCACCACCACCACCATCACCACCTTCATCACCACCACCACCATCACTACCTCCATCACCACCATCACCACCACCACCACCATCACCACCTCCACCACCTCCACCACCCCTCCTACAAATGCACACACCAGGCAGATAGCATTGCCCTGGGTAGGGGAGGCCATAAAGGGAAGTGGGAGGGGTTATGATGAAGATAAATGGGTGTCTCCCAACAGAATTCAAATTTAGATGGAGGACTTGTCGTAACTGGCTGGCAGAGGGGAGAGCTGCTGGGGAAATACTGAATAAGAAGGTGATGGAAAGGCGCTCTGGGGGGCACACCCAGAGAAGGTCTATGCCAGGGCACTCACCTTCGTGTGCAATTTGGCCAGCTGTTTCTCATCTAGGTTGGTCTGTTTGTAGACTCGTGTCTTGTAGCGGAACTGAGACCAGGGGTTGGGTATGAGGAGACACAGATTCGTAATTAGAGTCCTTGCTGGGGAATAATGTCAGTGTTCCTCCCTTCCTCCCAGGATGAGTTTAGGGTTAGCATGGAAATGGCCCTAGGTAGGGTGACCTTTCCAGGAGTACCTGGCCATGAAGGTCTATTGCACTATAACCCCTACCTTGTAAGTAACCCCTACATATACTGAATGTTCTAGAATAACTACTGTAGTTGGAATTCCCTCACCAGTTGATAGTATAAGGAGCTTAGGGGAGGAAGGAGGCAACTCAGCTGGTGATTTGGACTCAGGATCTCTCTCCTATAAGTTCTCAGGAAATCTTGAAGAGCCCACTGGGGTTCTCTTGGAATCATAGTGGATATGTTCCAGGGCATGACTTCTGTTAAGAGTTCTGTGGCCTCACCTCCAGGTAGGGTACCCCCTTCTCGAAGGACTGGGGGTACTCTCTCAGCAGCCTCTCCTCTTCCAGGAAGTTGGCATCCCGGCCTGAAGTGGCCGGCTGGAACAGTCCATAGTTGAGCACGTCCTGCAGACTCTCACTCAGGGCACAGAGCACTTGCTGTTTGGCTGTCCAGATGGTGGCATCGGGGTTGAAGCGCAGGCATTTCTGGTGGGAGATAGGATGGCCAGGACTAGGTTGTGTCAAGAATCTGAGGGTGAAGGGTAGGTTGGAAAAGGAGTAGAGTCCAGTTGGAGCTGGGATTGGGGGTGGGGAAAGACACTTGGTCAATATGTCTATCAGCTGACAGGTGATTAGCCACTCACCGTCTGGTGCAAGTCAGGGATGCCAATCCTGAAAACCATCATGCTGAAGTGGGCGTCGTCAGGGACAGACATGGAGCGTCCCTGGAGGCCTCTGGTAGAGGCCAGGTTACCAGGTGCTCCACTGCCCCGGCCCCGAGTCCCCTGGGGGCCTCTCCCTGGCCCGTCTGGGGAGCTGTCGGATTCTGAGGCCCCCTCGGGACACTCGCTGGCACTGTGGCGTTCCTCGTCCTCGCTTGTCGCGGGGCTGTGGGTCATCGTGGGGCCACGGGGCGACGGGGGACAGCAGCATCACAGGCAGCTGGGCAAGGCAAAGACGACCCTCAGTGTAGAGCCACTCAGAGTACCACTCAGTGACAGACACAGTGAAAGCCCGTTCCCTCTGCCCTGGGAGGCAAGGGAGACTAGACATACCCTCAGGCCTCTGCACAGACAAGCTCACACCACCTCTGCAGCCTTCCTGGCACCCTTCTCCTCCCTGTCCTTGGCCCTGCTTGCAGCCCCCACCCCCCTGCGCTCCACTTTGCTTCTGACCCAGTGTGTCCCAGAAATCACAGAATCACCACGGGAGCTACTGGCCCACTTTGTCAAGCCACAGAAAATGAAGCTAAAATTAGCTAAGGACAGACAGGTGGACCAATCCACCCCAGTATCCTGCCCTCCTGGCCAGAGCCTGGCCTCTTCACCCCAGGGAGGCTAAGACTGACTTTTATAGTAAAGGCGAGATGGAGGTGTGAGTTTTGAGCCTGGGGCAGCAGGAGGTGCCCGAGAGCTGGTAACTTCACTGAAGTGTGGCTGACCACGTTTGGAGGGCTGCTGGGGAATGAGCTGTCCCTGGAGGGGATGGAGGGACACAAATGTGGGTGGATGAACAGAAAAGAGAAGTTCCCCCGAGCTGTACCCAGGGGACCTATGAGAGGTTACCGGGGCATATGAAGAGGATGTGTGGGTGGAGGCGGAACAGTCCAGGTGACAAGCTGTGGTAGCCTGGGTGGGCGTGGGCTGCTGCGAGTGACCTGTAGGTGTGTTTCAGGGCTGGCACAGCAGGGTGGGTGGGTTGGCACTGTTTGGTACTGCTGCCTCCACCGAGGAGAACTTGGATTGGGTGGGGTGGCTGGGGAGAGGGCTAAGAAGTGAACCGCAGCGATATGGGACCAGGAGGTGGGGAGGGTCAACACTCTCAATGTGGCCTCCTGAGGGTTGGCTCCTTTCCAAATGCGGTCCTCTTCTCTCCTGTTCCCCACCCCCCACTCCCCACTCTAGAACCGGAAAGCAGAATGTCTGGTCTGGTCCCTCCCACCCCACACCAGGCCCGGCTCCTGCACCGTTGCCATGGAGATGGGAAGCAGTGGAGGGTACTGCTGACTTTGGGGGAGTGGGGATGGGCTGGGGGGAGGAGGGTTGGGGAAGGAAAGACGAAATGTTTAAGGAAGAGAGTTCCAAGAACTGTAGGCGAGCAGGCATCTAACCGCGGGCTGAGGACCCCTCCCCCTCGCGGGGACCGAGCTCCGAAGTCCCCACGCCCCAGTTGGTCCTGTTGCCCAACCTGCGGGGCTCCGGAGGAGACTCCGGGCCTCCAGTTCAGTCTGCTGACCGCCCTACACCACATACCACCAGTCAGTATGACCTCAGCCACTCCCCCTCTGCAGCCTCAGCTCTACAGGAACCGGTGGCAGGTGGGATGAAAGGTCAGCATGGGCCAGGCACCAAGAGCGCGGGCTCCACTGCCCCAACACCCAGGACAGCTCGGGCCCCTCCCCCTCCGGCCTTCAGGGAGGGAGCGGGCACACTCCGCCGGGGCGGCATGAATCAAAAGCTCGGCGGCTAAGAATAGCTGGCACGCAGCTGGTACCGAGACGGGCTGAGGGATCGGCAAGGGGCGGGGGGAGCTGGCGATGGGGAGAGAGGGGGTGCCCTGCGAGGCTGCGGGGGGACAGGGGACGGCTGGCGTGGCCAGGAGCCGGCCCCGGGAGAATGAATGGAGGTTGAGGAAGGCGGGAGCTGGGACTGAGGCAGGAAGGCTGGTGAGGGGACAGCCCCAGGTCAGAAAGGGAGCTGGGACTGGGGGCGGGAGCAGAGGGGGCGCGCCGACCCACGGAGAAGGGACCGGAGGTGCGATGGACACGCGAGGCGAGAGTGGGAAGGAACTGGAGACGCCTGTTAGGGGCGGCGGGTCTAGGCGGCGTAGGATGCTCTGGCCCAGACCCTGGGCTTGGAGGGGTTGGGGCACCAGGGTGACCTAGGGGAGGGGCTCAGGTACGCCAGGGTGGGCGAGGCGGGGGAGTGGCCGAACAGGGTTGGGAGGCGGGGACCGGGACCCAGTGGTGGCCCTGAAGAGCCTAAGAGACCAACCAGTACGGCTTAGGGGGCACAGCACGTGGGGGATGGGGCACACCCTCCCAGCAAGGATGCTATCTGGGACGGGGCACCCGGGACTGGGTCGCAACCCAATTTGATGCCACCCGTAGGGGCCACGCTCCCTTCCACACCCGCACTCCCCCCCATACACACACCCTAAATGCACACCCAGGCTGGAGCCGGCGCCAGGCCAAGGACATCCGGGGCGCCCCCGCCCTCTCCCGCAACCCCAGCTCTCGCAGCTGCACCCTACCCCAGAAACCCCCTGGGGTGCCCCGTGCCCTTACCTGCCTGGCGGGGCTGCTGAGTCCCGGTCGGCGGCGCCCGCGGCCCCTCCCCCCTCCCCCCACCCCCCACCCCCCCTACACGGGGGACCCTCAGGCCATGCCCCACCGCCCCGGAGGGCGAGCGGGCCGGGGAGGGGGCGGGCGAGGGCTGGGGGGAGGGCGGGGGGGACCGCGGACCTCACCCCCCCCGCGGGCCGGGCCCCGCCATCCGCAGCGCGCCCCCCTTTCTGTCGCGCCCGTGCGCCCCTCCTCGCCCGCCCCGGGGCTGGGGTCCGGCCCGGCTACGGGCGCCGCGGCTCCCGCCGGCGGCTCTGCCTCCTCCTCTGCCTGGGGCCGCCGAGCCGCTGCCTGCTCCCGCTCGGCGCCTTCACTGCCACCCGGCTCGCTCTCTCGCACTAGCTTGTCTCTCCCTCACCCGGTCTCTCTCTCTCTCTCTCTCTCTCTCTCTCTCTCTCTCTCTCTCTCTCTTCCTCTCATCTCCCTCCCTCCCCTCCCTTCGCTCTCTCCCCTCCCTCCAGAAGCCCGCAGAGACATATCGCCCCTCCCCGCGCCCCCAAACCTCGCCCATCCTCCCCCCCCAAACGCGGCTCCACCCCTCTCCCCTCGCCCTCCTCCATCCTTCATCTCCACTTCCCCATCCCCAAACCCAGATTCCACCCCTGCTTACCCCCTTGTATCCCAAATGGGGTCCTGCCCCTCCCAGAGGAGCCCCTCTCCCAGAGTGCTCCCCACTCTTTCTATACATGGTGGGGTGCTATTTGTATTTGTCGAGAGTCTGTATATTCCCAAAGTGAATGCTGAGGGTTATAGACTCCTGTCCTGTGGTTCCCCTCACTGTGAGCGTGCGCGTGCGCGTGCACACACACACACACAACACACACACACACACACACACACACGCATGCACGAACCTTTTCATATAAGCCCCCCTCCCCCCACACACACACGGAAGTACCTGAGATAGGCATATGTCCCTTCTCCCTACTGGTCCTGAAAGGAAGCATACTCACAGCTGCCTACTCCTTAGGGCATGCCTGCCCAGTACACAGGACTAGAGACACTCACCTGGCTTCATGCACAGTGTCACACCCCAGTGTCACAGCATACCGACAGCACCCTGCAAGATTTACCCACACCATACTCCAACTGCCTGCTCAGATCTGCCCACAGAAGCACACGGTAGACAGACATGCGAGCTGTCTGAGCGAGCTCACCCACCCCCTGTCCATCACAGGTGTGCACACCTGTTTGACTGCACACCCCGCTCATAGCACCCCCTCCACAGCTATCCCTGAGTACGGGTTCCTATTCAAGCACAGAGAGGCTAAGTAGCTTGCTTCAGGTCACCCAGCTCTAATGAGGTTCTTGTCAAGGATGAAGAACACAGAGGATGTCCCTGAAGTCTCCAGTGGCCTGCTATGGTGTCCCAAAGAACATTGTGTATCTTCACTCACCATATATCACCTCTAATTTCACACACATGGACACATAAAGCTAAGAGTGTGCAGGGGGTTAGCGTTCTGGTGCTTGGTACATTTATAGAGGCAAGGCAGATCTGTTCATCATCCTGCAGACGTCTTCAGTCCTGACTTCTCCTTTGTCCCAATTCCAGCTGCATCTCCAGAGCCACAAGGGAACACCATCACCTACAGATGGTGGTTCCAGGTAGCTTCTGGGTTCATCCGCAGCTGCGGGCTCTCTGGAGCATCCTGGGATAAGCTGAGTTAGTGCCATCTCAGAGAGGCCCTCATCTTGATGGACCCACCCAGGTGCTGAGCAGCTGAGCCCATGGAGAACAGCTGTCGGTGCTGGCACCAGGACTGAGTGGCTATGCACACCCAATAGTTATTACGTGGAGGTCTCCAGCCTCTGGTGAGGGACCTCTGCGCTACTGATGAGCATCTGAGAGGCTCTGAGAGAGCCAGGAGGCTGCCCAAGGTCACTCTGCCCTCCATGTTCCAGGCTTTCTTGAAAACTGGTGTGTTCCTTCCCAAGACCCCTCCTAGGGCTCTCAGCAGCCAAGGGCAGATGTAAGGCAAGACTGCTTGGAGCCAGCAGTCTTGGCCAGATGCCACCATAGGGATCCATGAGACTGTCATGTCCCCTCTCTGAGCTTCATTGCTTTTTCCATGCAGAGCCGGGGCCCCTAGAGCTCTGGCTCGTGAATTGGCAAGACCTGCTTGGACTATAGTTGGAAAAGCCCTGCAGGACTTATGGTGCTGGCATGGAATGGGCATGGCACAGCCTTCTACTTCCCCAGCACTGGATCCTCCCACGGGCTTCAGTACCTCTACCTAGGCAGACACCTTGAGAACTCAGGTGTAACCTAAACACAAAAGTCTGTCTCTGAGGCCTTTGACCAAGCTGTTGTTACTCTGCCAGGAACCTTCTTATTCAACAGCTTAATTGAGCAGTTATTAGGTACGAGGAAACCCTGCTTTGACTTGGGGATACAGAACTACCTAAGAATCCAAGCCTTGGTCTGCAAGAAACAGATGTAAATAAACAAGGCCATACTGGTTGGATCATACCTTAAAGAAAAGGGGGCGTTTTAGAAAAGCATCTCATATGGCACTCAGAGCTGAGACTCCAGCGATGAGGAGGAGCTGAGGGAAGAGTCTGCAGGAGGAAAAGGATAGGGAGGACACAGCCGAGGTGGAGGGTGAGGGGAGATGAGGTGAGCCTGCAGAAAATGCTTCTCTCCCAGGCCCTAGCGCTGCAGGCTGTACTGAGAACTGAGGCTCAGGTTTGGCTTCTCTCCTGCTTCTGATGGGAAGGTGAGGAAGCAGGGGCGTGGGGAGTAATGTGATCTGATTTATGGTTTGGACGGATTGCTCTGGCTGCGGCAGGCAAGCAGCCCAGATTGGAGGGGCTTGGAGGAAGGAGGGGGAGAGGAGGGGGAGGGGACTGCAGTGGTCTAGGCTGGGGTGAGGCAGCTTGTAAAATGTTCTCTGCTCAGAGCCCAGTGCTTGGTTAGTTCACTTCCTGGAGATACCTGCTCTGACTGTCCACCCCTTCTTCTCTTTGATGGGGACCACTGGGCCCACCACCACCTCCCACCCCAGCATTAGCCTGCTCAGGGCCTGGCCTGTAGGAGAACCCTGGAGTTACATATTTCAAGCTGTACACATGATGCTGTTCACACATGTCTCCACAAGCAGGCATACACAAGGGCTGGCAGGGCAGGGATAGACCATCTGGGTGGGGTCAGGGAGAGCCTGGAGCCTGAGGATGGCAGGAGTCCCCTTCTGTGTGGTCAGTAGTGACCACAGATAATAACAACCTTAGCATACCCTGCAGTCTGCTCCCTCCTCAGGAATGGCCAGGAGGTGGAGAAAGGAACAAAGCCAAAGCCAGCATCCTATTGTGGCCTGCTTTGTTCTAAGAAGGCTCATGGACCAAGGCTGAGGCCTGCCAGTATCAAGGATGCCCTACAGAATGTTCTCCATCTTTCTTCTGTCCATCTAAGTGCTTATACTTGCAAAAGGGAGTAAAAAGGGGCAGAAACAGTTCTGGAAAGTGGCAAGGAGTGGGTGTGGGGAGACCCAAGGCAAGGCGGGATCAAGCTTTGGAACGTTGGAGGTTTCCGGCCACAGAGGCAGAGCCTCCTGGAAGCCAAGAGGGGCGGGGAGACACACCAAGAGAATCTGAGGAGACCAACAGTTGAGACAGACCAGATCATCGGGAGGGAGGCAGAAGAGAGAGACGAGCAGAGTGGAGGATCAAGAGGCTAGTGCTCTGCCCATAGACAGACACTCGTCAGTCTGAGACCCCTGCCTCCTCCAGTCCTGTCTATCTCAGTCATTCTGACCTTTACTAGTCTGAGTGCTAGGAAGCCTAGCTGGATGCAGGCTGCCTGGCTTTTAGGGGCCCTAGTGGTCCCTCAGCTTTTGGGTTTTGGCCATGGAGTCCGGGGTCCTGGGAGGGACTGGGAGGGAGGCTGGGGAGGTGCCCTGGAGGAAGAGCGAAAGCGAGAGTCACTGATGTTGAAGGTGAGTGTTGGGCTCGGGATGAAGCACTGTAGAGATGGGAAAAAATGGGGCTTAGATGGAGCAAGGGGTTCAGAGAAAGAGCTGAGAGAGTAGGTGAGGGGACTGATGTGTGTTCTCTGTCCCACGATCTACAGGAGGCCCTGGGGCTGCCCATTGGGATGGGAAGTAATGACAGTCTTGCTGGAAATCCTAAAGGCGAAGAGGTGTTGGGGACCAAGGAGACCCAAGGGGAAGAAGAGGAAGAGGAAACCACATCACCTATTTCCAGTTCCAACCCTTTCCCCAGCCCTTCTCCCACACCAGAGGACACCATCAGTTACATCTGTGAGTATCCAGAAGCCAGGATGGCCTGTCTGTCAATCACTGACCCATATGTCTCCCAGACATATCAAGGGAGCCCCAGGTCTCCCGCAATACATGCCTGTCAAGAGCCCAAACCACTGAACCTCATCTATATAGTCCAGATTACCTCAACCATTCCATCTTTGGGAGTCGGAGGGCCATGCCCTCCCTTTTCCTTAGGACCCCTGATTGTGCCTTCAGTTGACTATCCTGTCCCTTCACAGTGGGCCGCTTGTCCGGCCTGGATGCAGGCCTACACCAATTGCATATTCGACTGCACACTTTGGACACTCGTGTGGTCCAGCTGACCCAGGGACTGCGGCAGCTGCGAGATGCTACAAGTGATACCCACAACTCCGTGCAAGCCCTAAAGGAGGCACAGGTCCGGGCTGAGCAGGAGCACGGCCGCCTGGAGGGTGAGTCTCAGCAGCACCTATAGGGCCTAGGTGGGAGGAGGCGTCCCAGGGAGGTCTGAACACCTGGGGACCAAGGGTGTCAGGAAACTAGAGGGTTCACACAGAACTGGGATGGGCTGGCACATCTGTAGCTGGGTTATGTGATGGGTGAGACACTCCTCGCTTCTTCAACCTGGGCCGCACCCTGGAAGCTCCACCCACTCACTGTCTGGCACCGCCTACACTCTGGCCACGCCCCTCTAAGGCCACCTCGTTAGACACTGCCGCTCTAATAAGACTGCCCTCTGGCCCCACCCTTTTATAACCCACAAACGCTTGGGTCCTGCCCCTGACAGCATGGCCAGGCTTCATTGGTCACTGAAGTTCTAATCCCTCCCATTACCCGCGCCCTTTCTGTCCTCAAAGCTCTGCCTCCCTAATTAGCCACGCCCCTACCACTCTTGTCTTAGCTTCACTTTTCACTCTGACTCCGCCCTCTTCCAGCCACTAAAGCTCTGACCCCGCCCCCTGCAGCCCTGGCTCTGCTTCATTGGTTTGTCTAACCCGAGTTTTGGCCCCGCCCCCAGCAGGCTTGCCTCTACCTCATTGGCCATCGCAGTCTAATTCTCATTCACCTGGCCCCGCCCCCAACCCTCAGGCACCAATCAACTGCTTTGGCTCCTCCCTTTACCTACAGGCCCCTCCCTCTCCCGCCTCTAGAAACCTTGGTTCCGCCTCATTGGTTACCCAGAGCCTCTCTCTGGCCCCGCCCCCTCTTGCCCCACTGTTCTGACTCCGCCTCACCATGCACACAGGCTGTCTGAAGGGCATGCGCCTGGGCCACAAGTGCTTCCTGCTCTCGCGGGACTTCGAGACCCAGGAGGCCGCGCAGGCGCGGTGCAAGGCGCGGGGCGGGAACCTAGCGCAGCCGGCAGACCGCCAGCAAATGGATGCGCTAGGCCGGTACTTGCGCGCCTCGCTCGCCCCCTATAACTGGCCGGTGTGGCTGGGCGTGAACGACCGGCGCTCTGAAGGGCTCTACCTTTTCGAGAACGGACAGCGCGTGTCCTTCTTCGCCTGGCACCGCGCGCCCAGCCCGGAGCCTGGCGCCCATCCTAGCGCGGCATCACATCCACTCAGCCTGGATCAGCCCAATGGCGGCGTCCTGGAGAACTGCGTGGCGCAGGCCTCAGACGACGGTTCCTGGTGGGACCATGGCTGTGAGCGGCGCCTCTACTTCGTCTGCGAGTACCCTTTCTAGAGAGCCAGTCCTTGCCTCAGAGCTCTTAAGACACATTCTTCTCCGTGTACCCTGCTGTCCGGGACGCTCAGAGGTTTACAATAACCATGAATAAATTTTTAATAAGAAAAGGCTTTTTATTTTAGATATTTGCACCCAGGGTGGTTGAGGTCAGGTGTGCCCTTCAGAGAACTCCAAAGACGCAGCCTCTAGCCGTTTCAGCCTAGAGCTTAGAAAGGCAAACTCCTGCCTACGTGTAGGGCAGGGGCTTCTTTGCAGTCGTCCTGGTCATCTTTTTGAGTAGACTAAGCAAATATGATTATAAAAGCAGAAAGAGCAGTCTTACTATCTTGCTAGAACAGCACATTTTACAGTATCGGTCACTTTAAGAAGAGTCTCACATCTGGTGTCGGGATAAGGGAAGTGGGCTGACAGGAGCGCATTGTGTTAGAGGCACTCTCTGCTTTTGGTCTCTCAGAGTAAGTCTAAACTTTTCAGTGTAATGTTTACCACCACACCTACATCGTGCGCCCTGAGCGCCACGCTGTATGCCTGTGCTTTGCACCCTAGATAGTGCACCATGCATCTTGGGCCCCGAAGTGCTACCAATCCTGGATGGTTGGGCTCCCCTGAGTCATAGCCTATGCAGCTTCCCCATGTCCCCATCTGTCCTCGAAGCTTCAAGCTCCCAGCTAAGCTCAGTGCCAATAAACCCTTCCATAATATAATTTGAGGGACTATGGAGACATCTGACCTTTATTTTGCCTGGGGAGAATCAGGAAGTACCAGACCCTGACTTTGGATACTTGTTCTTGTCTTTTTAAAATACAGAATGTTGGAGAGCACATGCGCACAGGAACACGTAGTTGTACACAGATGTTTGGTGTACTCATGCACCCATGCAGATGCCAACATCCCTAGCCTGCTTCCTCGGGGCCTTTAGGAGCTGAGCCCTGTCACCACTGCTCCTCAGCAGAGAGATAAGGTGTGCTCTAGGTCCTGCCATTTAATCTTGTTTTGTGTTGACCAGGGTTCTCAGACCTGCTTTCCCTGGGCATTGATTCATCAAGCCCATTCCAGAGAGGAGAGGCATCCACTCCAACCTTAACGCCTCACAACTTGCAGAGCATGCGATCAGACAGGGGGAACACTCAGTTCCCTCAGTTACTTCCTATCCTGGAAGCTAGGTCAGTCTTCTCCTCTTGGAGCCCAGGTCTCACGCAGGTCCTCTAGTAAGCCCCACCTCCTTCCATGTGGTGTTGGCCTACATTTCCCAGTATGCCTGAGGACCATAGATCAGCTGTCTCCAACGAAAACTGAATTCTCTCCATCCACCGGGCTTGCCCCATGCATCTAGGGAAATGTAGTCCAGTCCCTGGATGGTTGCATAGTAATAATACCTTTCCAACAAGAGTTCAAACAAACAAAAAATTGGAAAACTTGTGAATTTTCATTGACAGATGGTAACAATTTTTTAAAAGTGAAATTGCTTCATATTAAATACATACATATGTGTAGGAAATGGTTAGAAAATTTGGGTGTTAACTATTGATCCCAAAGACCACCATCCTAAATCATGGCTAAATTAATAAAAGTAAACAAGCAATTAAAGCAAGTTCCCGTTTGTGTACACCAGCTGCCTCCCCCTAAGGTAGGGTTCGCGAGTTCAGGCACTGACTGTGAGGAAGGACGGGTTTTTATAGCTGAGGTTTTCAAATGTGGGAGCTGGTGGGCAGAATGGGTGGGGTTACAGGAACAGAACATAGCATGACGAGTTAGTCATAATGACCTGAAACAAAGAGGTTGCAAGGGGCAAGGTGGTCCTAACAACGTAGTCATGGCAACAGTGGAAACAAAGGTAGGGTTGCAAGATGGTTATGAAAAACCTTTTGAAACAAAGACATGGTTGCCATTTCCTGGAACTGGCAGTACAGAACCATTTGTAGTTAAGGTTACAGGGAGGGCCTAGCCCAATCCGTGAAAAACGGAGTTCAGTCATAAACAGGAACAAGCCCAGTTTATCTTCACTATAAAATGGATTTTAAACCTAAGATGGAGGCAGGCTGGCTATTTCTTTACAACATTACTGAGTAGGATATTAAAAACACACGAAAATTCTTTGCAGCCAGAAGTGGAGGCTGATACCTGCAGTCCCATCTTTTGGGAAGACAGGAGGCAGGGCCTAGGGTTTTGGGGCAGCCTGGATTTTAGAATGAACCCCTGTCTGGACAAAGAAAAATAAAAACAAAAACCAATCAAACATACACCGCAAACCTAAAACAAACAGACTGAAGAGGGCTAGGAAGATGCTCAGTCAGCAAAGTGTTTGTTCTGGAAAAGTGAGGACCTGCACTTTTATCCTCAGCACCATGAAAAGGCCAGGCCCGGCAGAGAGTGTCTGCAACCCCAGAGCTGGGATAGAGACAGGTGCTCCACTGGCCAGCCAGCCTACCCAGCCATTGGGAGGAGAAGTGATGAAGGAAGTCACTTGATGTCCACCTGAAATAGGATGGGGGCAATATGCTTTTAAAATATTTTTCACCTGCTAGTGGGAGTTAAACCCAGAGCCTCCTACACACTAGGCAAGCATGCTACCACTAAACTGGACTCCAGCCCTCAAAAATTTTATTTTGCTTGGAAAGTAATTGCTAATGCTATACCACAATAGTTTAAAAAGTGACAAGAAACTAAGATACATCTTTTTATTTAAAAAAATTTCAGGGCCAAGGTGTAGAGAGGAAGAAATAGGGAAGAAGGGAGGAAGGCCCAATAGAGGAGAGTTGAGCACGGTCAACTGTGTGAAGCCTCGCTCTTCTGAGGCCAAAGGCAGTCTCTGTCTTCTGAAGTTTAAGGGAACAAGGGCCTGAGGGAGCTGAAGTTTTGAAGTATTGGAGTGAAGGGTGATGTGGAATTTCCTTCTATATATGTTCTGCTTTTATTGGCTGATGAAAAAAACTGTATAGGCCACAATGCCTTAGCAGAGTAAAGTCAGGCAGGAAATCAGGAGAGAGAGAGAGAGAGAGAGAGAGAGCGCAGAGTCAAAGATGCCATGTAGTTTCCAAAGGAGAAAGAAGAAAGGTGCCACTGGAAACTTTCAGAAAACCACAGCTTCGTGGTGATACATAGATTATTAGAAATGGGTTAATTTAAGATGTAAGAGCTAGGTAGGGCTATACCTAAGCTATTGGCCAAACAGTGTTGTAATTAATAAAGTTTCTATGTGCTTATTCAGGTCTGAGAGTCTGGGAAACGAACGAGCAGTCTCTGTTACAGAAAGGTTTAAGATACGAGCAGTATATTCTGTTGGAGGAGGCCTTCGAGTTTAGCAGCAGTAGGAATGGAGAGGATGACTCTGTAAGGGCCTTTCCCTTAGGGGAGAGGGGTAGGGGTCACTGATCCGGAACGAGAAAAGAACCAGGTTCCTAATGTTAAAATGTGATGGGGTGGAGTGGTCAGATGGCCAAGGTAACCTAGACAATGAGAACCCTAAGAACATGGATCTAATCTACATGGGAAGTAGAAAAAGACAAGATCTCCCGAGTAAACTGGGAGCATGGGGACCATGGGAGAGGGTTGAAGGGGAGGGGGAGAAAGGGAGGGGAGCAGAGAAAAATGGTTGGTGACTATCTGGATCATTGAGTGCAGGTAGGTGAGCAGGAGACTAATCAGGTGAGTGGGGAGATGTAAAGGCTGAGATATGAGAGCGGGAGTCAGGATCAGTCACCCAACAGAAGCTCAAACAAATGGAGAGGGGCCATTTGGGGAGGACCCTCGGCCTAGGAAAGTGAGGGGCAGAAGCTTTACCCAGTCTAGGTGAAGTTCTTGTGAATACATAGTAAGAAGGTTTTGAGGCAATGATTGGTTTGCTTGACCTTCCATGAGGAGTAGGAATCATGTGGGATATGGAAATGCCAAGGGATCTTAAGAGCTTTGGATAAAGTCTGTGGAATTTGAGAAGTAAACTCAGGGCCATTGCATAGTTGAAGGGAAACTGGAACTTCAAAGTAAGGGATGACTTCTCAAAAGAGATCTGAGACTAATTGAGCCCTTTTGTTGGTGTAGGGAATGTTTCCAGTCACCCTGAAAAAGAGTCCACCAGAACCAGGAGGTATCAGATTCTTCTGACAGTGGGCACGTGGGTAAAATTGAGTTGCCAGTCGATCCTGGGTGAGATTCCCTGAGAGATCTTGCAAGAGGCAGTGATGGCCTTTAAGAAGGACAAATCTAGTCAGGTGTGGTGGCACATGCCTTTAATCCCAGTGCTTAGTAGGCAGAGGCAGGAGGATCTCTATGAGTTTGAGGCCAGCCTGATCCACAAAGTGAGTTCCAGGATAGCTAGGGCTACCCAGAGAAATCCTATCTCAAAAGGAGGAGGGAGAGGAGGAGGAGGAGGACAAATCCTTGAGAAGGAGCTGTAGATGGGCCTCAGTGAAGTGAGAAGTGAGACAAAGCCGGGCTATCAGGGTGAAGAGCTGGTGCACAGAGTGTGGAATTTGCTGAGTGTCTGAGGATGATAGTGAAGATGTTAGCTGTAAAGGATGCCACGGGGAGTGTGAGAGGGACCCACGCCTCCACAAGCTGTAGCTCTAGTCACCTCATCTGCTCAGTTATTTCCCTTGGAGATGATGGAGTCATCCACTGGTGTGATTGGCAGTGCACAATTTCTATGGCCTACAGCATGGCCATGAGCTGGTTATGGGTCCTCTCTTCGTTGTTAGCAGTCCATGCTCCTTCCAGATGGCTGTGTATGACAGAGGGATATGAAAGGCATACATGGAGTCTATGAAGAGATTGAGAGAGTGTTCCTTTGCTAGTTCAAGGCATGGGTAAGAACTAGTAGCTGGAGAGATGGCACTAGCTGTTCTTCCAGAGGTCCTGAGTTCAAGTCCTAGCAACCACATGGTGGCTCACAATCATCTGTAATAAGATCTGGTGCCCTCTTCTGGCCTGCAGGCACACATGGAAGCAAAACACTGTATGTGTAATAAATAAATACATTTAAAAAAGATAAACTAGTAGTTCAGTCTGTTGGTTTGTGGCTGAGTTGAAAGGGCTCAATAAGGTGGTTCCTTAACCACATTGGTGTCCCAGATGATGGCGCATCCTGCCTTTTGGAACCCCTGCATAGGAAGGAGCTGTCATCTGTGCCAGGTGTAGGTAGTCTGCGGTGGAGGGCCCTCAGGTATGTGTGTGGGATGAGGTAGTAGCTATTCT